AAAGTGTTCAGTGCAGATCAGTGAGTAAGCACAAGCCCGCCCGTGCTTACCTTGCTCCCGGAGACCTGGTCCCTCTCGGGAGGGTAACAAGGGAAACTTGAGGCTTGAATTTTTTCTTCAGTTCTTTCAGCTTGAGAAATGCTGAGTGTGTTCTTTCCTCTTGGTTTTCTAACTCCAGGTCTTTGCACATTTCATTAGAATAATTGACTTTGTCTGCTCAAGCTGCTCTTTGAAATCTTCTGTTCGTTCAGCTCTTTTATCTTGTCATCTCTTTGATTTGCTTTAGCTACTCTCAAGAGCAAGCTTCCGAGTCTCCTCTAACATCCATTTTGGTCCTTTCTTTCCTGTCTTCTTAATGACTTTTTGCTTTCTTCATGTATGATGTTCTTGGTGTCATCCCACAACTCATCTGGTCTTTGGTCATTGCTGTTCAGTGCATCAAATCTGTTCTTCAGATGGTCTCTAGATTCAGGTGGGATATAATCAACATCGTATTTTGGCTCTCGTGGACTTATTTTAATTTTCTTCAGCTTCGGTTTGAACCTGCATATGAGCAATTGATGGTCACCCCACAGTCAGCTCCTGGCCTTGTTTTGACTCAAGATACTGAACTTCTCTATAGCCCCTTTCCACAGATGTGGTTGCTCTGCTTCCTGTGTATTCCATCTGGCAAAGTCCACATGTAGAGCCGCCATTTATGTTACTGAATAACGGTATCTGCAATGGATAAATCACTGGTGTTATAAAATTCCAGGACGGGATCGCTGGCATTATTTCTGTCATCGAGGCCTATTTTCCAAGTACTGATGATTCTTCTCTGTTTCCAACTTTCACATTCCAGTCACCAGTAATTATCAACACATCTTGATCCCATGCCTAGTCAATTTCAGATGCAGAAGTTGGTAAAAATCTTCAATTTCTTCATCTTTGGCTTTAGTGATTGGTGCATAAATTTGAATAATAGTGTTCACTGGTCTTCCTTGCAGGTGTATGGATATTATCTACCACTGACAACACTGTACTTCAGGATAAATCTTGAAACATCCTTTTTGACAATGAACGTGAGGCCATTCCTGTTTGATTTGTCATTCCTGGCATAGTAGACCCTATGAATGTCCAACTGAAAATTGCCAATACCAGTCCACTTCAGCCCACTAATGCCTAGGATATCGATCTTTATGCATTCCATTTCATTTTTTTACAACTCCCAATTTTCCTAGATTCATACTTTGTACATTCCACATTTTCATTATTGATGGATGTTTGCATCTGTTTCTCCCCATATTGAGTCATGCCTCATCAGCTAATGGCGGTCCCGAAAGCTTTACTCCATCCACATCATTAAGATTGACTCAACTTTGGGGAGGTAGCTCTTCTCCAATCGTATTTTGAGTGCCTTCCAACCTGAGGAGCTTGTCTTCCGGCACTCCATCAGACATTGCTTCATGGCTCTGCATAAAGTTTTCCAGTAATGTATCAGACCGTGTTTCACTGCTATTCATGAAGTTTTCAGTGGACAGGTTTTTTTCCGGAGTGGATGACCCTGTCCCTCTTCCCAGTCTGTCTTTGTCTCACACCATGGGTGACCTTGCTGGTATGTGAAATACTAGTGGCATACCCTCCAGCCTCATAGCAACACACAACCCACCACAGCACGACAAACTGACAGACAACTGGTAGTTCCTACCATCTCCTTATCAACTATTTCTAAAGGCAGGAGCCACCCACATTGTCATAAATGGGCTTGGCTGTTTCCTGGAAGATTAAGAGACAAGAGACACCCTGTACGGTGTCGTCTTTTTTTTTTTTTTTTTTTTTTTATATTCTATTCTTTTTGTTGTTTGTTTTTTGTTTTTTTTTTTTTTTTTTTTTTTTTTTTTTTTACGTACTCCACCTGCCTCGGCCAAAAAAGCGACTGTCCTTCTGGACCCCAGGCCCTGCTGGTGGAGCCAGGAAAGTGCAGGAGGGTGGGGAGCAGGGAAAGGCTCTGCCCTGAGAAGCTCCCAGGCTTGGAAACACAGCAGGGACGGCACCCCTGCTGCCAAGCATCCTTGGAGCCTCCCTGGGCCCCCAGCCTGGGGTACTGAGTCAGGGAGCTGTGATTGAGGGTGCAGCTCTGAGCTCTGGGAGTGTTAGTCAAAGGTGTGCCTGTTGTCTGTGTGTGTGTGCACACATGAATGCACACATAGCTGGGATGGGGCTGTGCCTCGGGGGGGTGTCTTTGCATGTGCTCTGTAGTCGAGGGACTAGGGTGGCAGGTGTCCGTGTGGGTGGGGACCAGGACATTGGTTGTGGCTGGGTATCCCTTATGCTGAGTGTACCTGTGTGTTCTGTGTACAGCCATGTGTCTGCGCATCTGCACTGCATGTGTGGTGGAGACCATATGTGTGTCCCTGTGTGTACTGAGTGGGTCTGTCCTATGTGTGTGGTGGTGGGACCATCCATGTGTCCCTGTGTGTGCTGTGTGTCTTTGTCTGTCCTGTGTGTGTGGTAGTGGGACTATCAGTGATTGTCCCTGCATGTTTAGTGTGTCTTGTGTGTCTGTCCTGTGCGTGTGATGGTGGGACCATCCATGTGCTCCTGCATGTGTTGAGTGTGTGTCTGTCCTGTGTGGTGGGACCATCCATGTGTTCCTGTGTATTGAAGGTGTCTTTGTGTCTGTCTTATGTGTGTGGTGGTGGGACCATCTGTGTGTCCTTGCATGTATAGAGTGTGTCTGTCCTGTGCATGTGGTGGTGGGACTATCTGTGTGTTCCTGTGTTGAGCGTGTCTGTCATCCTGTGTGGTGGGACCATCCATGTGTTCCTGTGTATGTTGAATGTATCTGTGTGTCTGTCCTATGTGTGTGGTGGTGGGACCATCTGTGTGTCCCATGTATAGAGTGTGTCTGTCCTGTACATGTGGTGGTGGGACCATCCATGTGTTCCTGTGTGTGTTGAATGTGTCTGTGTGTCTGTCCTACATGGGTGGTGGTGGGACCATCCATGTGTCCCTGGTGTTGTATCTGTGTGTGGGTCCAACATGTGTGGTGGTGGGACCATCCATGTGTCCTTATGTGTGTTGAGTTTGTCTGTGTGTCTGTCCTACGTGTGTAGTGGTGGGAACAGCTGGGTGTGGTGAGTGTGTTTGTCCCCGTGCCTGTCCTGTGTGTGGCTGTGATGTGCCTGTGGTGACTGTGTGTGCACGTCTGCCCACAGGGATCCCCCCGGCCAGTGGCACCGGGACCCTCCAGATCTACCTCATTGACATCAATGACAATGCCCCCGAGCTGCTGCCCAAGGAGGCACAGATTTGTGAGCGGCCAGGCCTCAACGCCATCAACATCACGGCGGCCGACGCCGACATCGACCCCAATGTTGGCCCCTATGTCTTTGAGCTGCTCTCCACGCCGGCCACTGTGCGGAAGAACTGGACCGTCACCCGCCTGAATGGTGAGGGCCTTGGCAGAGGAGGGCTGAGGAGGATCGGGCTGGGCTGACGCAGTCCGGGGGGCCCCAGTAGCAGGGAGACGGTCCGGGAGGCTCTGGCCCTCCAGGAGAGCCCCCCACAGGGATGAGGAGAGGGGCCACGTCTCCGTTGCTCAACCACATTCACTCGGTCCTCTGCCCGGGAGGCCGTCCCTGGGGCTGCTTTCTGCTGTTTTGGGCAGTGCAGCCCCTGCAGCCTTGCGGCACGATCCGGCATGCTGCTGGCGACGTCAGGGCCAGTGATGGGCCTGGGCCCAACTGTCTGCCTCCTTAGTTATTTCCCTCGCCCAACGTGTGATCTGAAGGGGGCAGAGCCCTGAGGTGTGGGCGGCACTGTGGGGACACCCTCTCGACCACGATGCCAGCGTCCAGTCCCGCACTCACCAACGCTGAATGCCACCATTTTCGGAAGCCCTGGGCCGGTTTTCTGGGCCAAGCTCATTTTCCCCTTCCACATCTCTTGCCTGCGGGCGGGCCTTCCACAGTCACCACTGTGCTTTCCTCGTGAGCGGTGTTCGGGCCTCTGCCCCTTTCTCTCCGCACCCCCTCGCTGCCCGATTGTTAAGCTACTGAGCAAGTGAAGTCTTCATCCTACGTGTCACAGTTGCTCACTTGTCTTGGACTGCCCGGGTCTGTTTTATGGTGTGTTGTGTGGGTGCTGTTGCATTGTACATCTGTGCATTTGGGGTGTGTGGTGTGCGTTTGTGGTTTATGTTAGATGTGGTATGCATGGCATGCGTGTGGGGTGTGTGCTGTGTGTTGCATGTGTGCTGTGTGTGGTGTGTACATGCCATGTGTGCCACATGGTGTGTGTGCTGTGTGCTGCATGTTGTGTGGTGTGTATGTTGTGTGTGTGGTGTGAATATGGTGTGTTGCATGTGCTGTGTGTGGATGCTGTGTGAGCTGTGTGTGCACCGCGTGCTGTATATAGTGTGTGTGCTATGTGTGTGCTGTGTGCTATGCACTGAGCACGTATATGCTGTGTGCACTGCATGCCGTATGTGGTGTGTATATTCTGTGTGTGTTGCATGTGGTGTGTGCCGTGTTTGGTACGTGTGTGGTGCATGTGCTGTGTGTACTGTGCATGCGGAAGGAGCGTGGTGCTGACCAAGCCTGTCTCAGATCTCCACACCACCAGACATGGGTGTCGTCCTGGGATGTGTGCCCAGCTCGGGGCCACCCCCCACTCACGCACACTGTCTCGCTCTGGCCAGGTGACTACGCCCAGCTCAGCTTGCGCATCCTGTACCTGGAGGCAGGCGTGTATGACGTCCCCATCATCGTCACGGACTCCGGGAACCCCCCGCTGTCCAACACATCAATCATCAAGGTCAAAGTGTGTCCGTGTGATGAGAATGGCGACTGCACCACCGCGGGCGCAGTGGCGGCAGCCGGCCTGGGCACAGGGGCCATCGTGGCCATCCTCATCTGCATCATCATCCTGCTGAGTGAGGGCCAGGGGGACGGGGACGGGGGACTGCGGACAGGGCTGGGGGGACAGGGACACAGGGATGGAGGGATGGGGATGGGGGATGGGAGACAGGGGGCTGGGACCAGGGCCAGGGGGGTGGGGGGCCAGGGAAGGGGGGGACAGGGTGACAGGCGCCAGGGTAACAGGAGGATGGGGGGGATGGGGGATGCAGGGACAGGGAACAGGGTGATGGGGGCTGGGTGATAGAGGCCGGAGTGATGGAACTGGGATGGCGGGAGGCCAGGGTTGTGGGCACAGGGCCCTTCTGTGGGTACCAAGCCACAAGAAAGGTCTCTGGGTACTCTCCATCCAGGCACAGGGCTGGCTCGAGTCCAGCTGCTCAGGTTGTCTCCAAGAGCCCATCTCCTTCCTGCCTCCCCACTTGGCCTTCCAGAGTCCTTGTGCCCGAGGCTGACTCACATCTATCCTGGCAGTGGTGGAGAGAGTTCCTTTCCTGCCAGTACCCAACAGATTGTACCAGCCTCTGTTATATGCACACTTAGAACCAATCACCAGCCAGGGAGTGGGCTGTGCTTATTGGCTCAGCCCAAGTCACATGTCCCACCAATCTCTCAGCTTTCCCAGAACCTTGGGACTCCCCAGTGGGGCCTGGGGGAGGGGCAGGGGTGCTGGAGAAACCACCTGAGAAGCTCCCTATACCCCCTTCCCACCTGGACAGTCGCCTGTTCCAACCAGAGCCCCACTGGGAGGCAGGGTGGGAAGGTGGGGAGACAGGGTGGAGGCCACTCCCCATCCCAAACACCAGGTTCCAAGGGAGGGTCTGCTCCTCCCCTCTTCCTCCTTCTGGGGTCTCTGCCGAGACACTTTGTGCCTAAAGACACCCCCTGTCCACCTAACCCCCACCTTCTGTGGTCTGGAAAAGTAACTGCCAAAAAAACTTGCGAGGAGGAAGGTTCTGCTCCACATGGAAACGTGGTTCCTCCATAGGTGACAGGTGATTAACAGATGATTGATAGATGGCTAGACAGATGATGGACAGATTGAAGGATTATAGGTAAGCTAGATGATCGATAGGTCATTAGATGAGAAACAGATGGAGGAGTGATGGATGACAGATAGAAAATAGATGTTGCTGTTGGGTCCCATCAAGTCAGCTCCGACTCATAGCGACCCCAGCGTGTGACCCAACGAAACACCGCCTGGTCCTGCACCAGCCTCATGGTCCTTGCTGTCTGTCCAGATCTCTCAGATAGCGTCCCAGTGCCAGGCCGGGGGCGGAGCAGAGGGCCCGCGCAGCTCTTCCTTGCACAGTGTGTGCATGTGTGTGTACACACACACACCCCAGAGGCGTGTACACACGAGTGCACAATGCACTCATGGGAGCACACATGCACACTGCATGTACATATGCATGCACTCAAGAACACAGACACGAGGCATACACACACGTGCTTCTGCACAGAAACATGCACACATGTATATGTGCATCACAGATCTATTCATACGTGCAGGTGTGCACAGGCATATGCACCGCATGTGCACCAATGTACATGTGCATGCATATACACACATCACACACAAGCACGCAGGAGCACTTGTGTGTACACACGCATGTGCTCACCACACCCCCGCCCACAGCCATGGTCCTGTTCTTCGTCACGTGGATGAAGCGGCGGGAGAAGGAGCGGCACACGAAGCAGCTGCTCATTGACCCTGAGGATGACGTGCGCGACAACATCCTCAAGTACGACGAGGAGGGGGGCGGCGAGGAGGACCAGGTGAGCCCGGACCACCTCGCACATGGACAGTCATGCCGCACGCCTGCACCCTCCCCGCACACTAACAGTCATTTCACACACCAGGCACTGATACCACACGCCTGCATCCACCTCGCACATGGGCACTCACACCTCAGGCCAGGCACTCACACCGCACGCCTGCACCCTCCCTGCACATGGGCATTCACACCTCATGCCAGGTACACACACCCCACACGCCTGCACCCTCCCACATGCTGCAAATCACACCTCAGGCCAGGCACGCACACCACACACCTCCACCTGTCCCACACACCGGCACTCGCATCACATGCCTGTACCCTCCCTGCATGCTGGAAATCACACCTCATGCCAGGCACTCACACTGCACCCTTGCCCCCTCCCTGCATGCCAGATATCACACCTCATGCCAGGCACTCACACCGCATCCCTGAACCCTCCCCGCATGCTGGCAATCACATCTCACACTAGGCACTCATACCACACACCTGCACCCTCCCACATGCTGGAAACACACCTCATGCCAGGTACTGGCACCGCATGCCTGTACCCACCCCACATGCCAACAATCACATCTTACACCAGACACTCACATCACACACCTCCACCTGTCCCACTCACCGGCATTCGCATCACACGCCTGCACCCTCCCCACATCCCGGACATCGCACCTCATGCCAGGCAGCCGCATCACGCCTGTATCCTTCCCCCATGCTGGAAATCACACCTCATGCCAGGTACTTGCACCACACGCCTGCACCCTCCCCACATGCCAGCAATCACCTCTCACACCAGCACTCACACCGCACGCCTGCACCTGCCCGCACACCGGCACTCACACAGGGCTCACTCTCAGGTTTAACAGTCACACTTCATCCTCCTTCCCGGTGTGAACATGCTGCATGACCCTGCTAGGCACTCAGGGAAGGTGGCATGGGACTTTTCGTCTTCTCAGCCCTTGACTCCCTGCCCACAGTCACATCCTCAGATGCCAGCCTGGCCCTGTGCCCCCGCACCACCCACCAGGCGACAGTGTGAGCTTTCCCAGCCCCAGCTCCGCTGCCCCTGGCCCTCCGCCCCATCAGCCCGGCTCCCTTGGCTGGCAGGTGGGGGGGGACAGAGGACAACACACGCCTGTACTGCAGACGGGAACCTGGGAAACTCTTCCCAGGGCTGCAGAGTTGTCAGGGGAGCAGGAAACCGAGGGTGTACTCGGAGACGCTGCCCCTGCCCCCCCTCTGATTGGCCTCCTCTCCACCCCGCCATGCCGCCCCCCAGGACTATGACCTAAGCCAGCTCCAGCAGCCGGAGAGTGTGGAACATGTTCTCAGCAAGGCCCCTGGGGTTCGGCGGGTAGACGAGAGGCCCGTGGGCGCAGAGCCCCAGTACCCAGCCAGGCCCGTGGTGCCCCACCCGGGGGACATCGGTGACTTCATCAACGAGGTGGGTGCCCAGGCGGGGCCCAAGCGGAGTCGCGGCAGGGCTGGGGGTGTTGACCAGACAGCTGAGTGCCTGTGCACCAGCCCCTGGCCATGTGGACCACAGGGCACCGCAGACCGTGCCTGCCTGAGAACTCCACACCACACCCCATCCCACATGGCAGGCTGGCACTGAGAGGTCCTCTGTGAGTGAGGGGTCCAGAAGTCCCCTCTCCCACCTGTGTCTGAAATTCCACCATTCGTGAGGCCATGGGTCTCCCCATAGGCTGCACGGCCTACCTCCCAGCTGTCTTTGTCCATTGCCCCGGGCCCACAGTGGGACATGCTGCCCTCCTGAACCCCTGGGTCCCAGGACAGGCCCCCTGGGCATGGACAGGGCCACAGAGAACTCACCTCCCCATTAAAAGTAAATCCCATGAACCCCTGTGGAGATGAGCAGCAGGTTCAGAACTAGGTTTGTGCTGGCCCAACAGTGGGCTGTGAGGCTGTAGGCAGACTGTCCTCCATCCTCCTGTCAGTGGGGCCATAACCCCCACCTCTCAGGCACAGGGTCCGCGTGTGCACACACGCACGCACGCACACACACACTAAGGGCCCATGGCCACATCCCTGCAGTAGCAGGGACACTGATGGCAACTGAGGGGACAGCTCTCAGGAGCACAATGGCAGAGGCGGGCCGTGGTATACAAGGTTCATGGAGCACTCTCGAGCTCCAGTGTTGGACTTCTGGTCAATGGCCACTGGGAGTGACCTTCCCTGTCTCTGTTCCAGTTCTTGGTGCCCCAACAGAGGAAAATGAGCCCCAGCCTCAGGCACAGCCCAGGCCAGCCCCGTGGGCCTCCCACAAGCCCTGCCCACAGGCAGCAGGCTTCCTGAGTGGCGCCCGACCATGTACCCTGGTGCCAGTCCCAACATGAGGGCTTGGAGGCAACTCAGCATCCAAGTCCCATCAAACACCCGGCCCAGCCTTTGATCTTCCAGTTCACCAGGGAGGTTTAAACACCTACTTACAAGTTTCCCAGAAAAACGAAAAGCAAACCCGCTGCCGAGTCTGTTCTGGGCCGTGGCGACCTGTTTGCTAGGGCAGAACCGTGCCTCGGCATCCCCTTGGCTGGAATCTTCACAGAAGCCGATCCTCAGGCCCTTCTTCCCAGCGCCCCTGGCAGATCTGAACCACCAGCCCTTAGGTTAGCAGCTGATCCCACACTGCTCACACCACCCCAGGACCAACTTACCCAGAGAAATACTAAACTCACACTTCCAAGTGAGTAGCTCCCTGCCTTTGCGTCCTTCCTCCTTCACTGTAAAGTGTATAAATGAACCGTCTGCACCAGGCAATGAGAGGCTTTTCCCAACAAGTCATGTCCCAGCAGTGAACGTCCAGCAGCCCAAGCACGTCTCCCCCACAGGCCCTTCGTAAATGGTGCTGGTCCCTGCGCTTTGACCACCTGCTCTCTGCTACCATGTTTTTTTCAAAAGCGACATCATCTACATCTCAGCCTATGTTGGAATCTAACTTTGAAAGAACTCATTTAAATAGGGAAGGATTCAGGGGAGATACAAAGACATTTCTAAGAACGTTCCCCACAACAGAACACATCCCGGATGGCACATGAAATTTCTACAACTGCCCAACACTGATGCTTCTCAGACCCCATTTGCTGTCTCACCTGTAATAAAATGTTGAAAACCCCAGAAAGTAGACCCCCTATTTAAAAGCCCACCTCTAAATACTCTTGGAGAAGCTCTGGTAGCGTAGTACCTAAGGCACTTGACTGCTAACCAGAAGGCTGGGGGTTCAAATCCACCAGCCACTCCTCACAAGGAAGGTTGGGCAATCTACTTCCATAGTGGTACTGCCTCGGAAACCCAAGGAGGGGTCGCTATGAGTCAGGTGTGACTTGATGGCACATAACAACGACAACAGATACTCTTCAAGGAAATTAAAAAAAGAAACAAATCATTCAGTACTGAAAGATGACAGCCACACACACACCCCAGGAAGGAGATTGGGCCAAAGCAGTATTCTGAGGAAAAGGCATAGTGTGCCATATATTCACAGAGAACTAGAAAGAATGAACATGAAGGAACTAATCTTTCAACTCAGGAAGTTGGGAAAAAAGACAACAAATGTCCCCAAATGTCAGTATCAAATATTCATCCCCAACAAATATCCCCAAGAAGGAAGAAATGAACAAAGACAGCCAAACACAGTCACATGTGACTCCTTCCCAGGACTGTGGCTGGCCTCAAAGCCAACAGGCCTATGCAGTTCCATCTCAGACCTGGTCCCTCCCCCTGGAAAGGTCACACAGTGTGAAGCTACAATCCCCTCTCTCTCTAAAAAGACAGTGGGTCTTGAATCCTAATGTGAGACCGTCTTGTCCTCTGAGTCTGTGAGAAACTGTTTTCAGCAGAAGGGATCTGTATGTAAATGCCCGGGGTATAACTAGCTGGATCCTCCCCACGTGGGGTGCAGAGAAGTCTCAAGAGCCATTTGGGGACTGCAGACATGGAGGAAAGGCTGGCTCCTGTCCTAGCGGGTAATTTGGGGACTCAGTGCTGGGAGGAGAACTAAAGCACCAGGGGCTCCAGGAAGCGGGGCTGGTGACACCCCGAGGCCCCTCAGGAGGAACAGTGTGGGCAGTGACAAAGCGGGACCCACCTGTGCAGGTGAAGACTCCCGCGCGCACCTGGTGGGTCCCCTTAGGCCCTGCCGTTCAGCCCACAGCCCTCCAATCCACGGCTTTCCGTTTCACTTCACCCACCTTGACCTTCTAAACCCGGACGACAAAACGCGGCCGGCAGGAAGCTGTGGGTGCGTTTCTTCTGCCTACTCGTGTTTATTTTGTTTCAGTTTCCAATCTTAGCCGGGGACCCCAGGAAGCCTGCGTTGGTAGTGGGGGAGGGAAGGAGCCAGGAAGACGCAACATCAAGCCAGTGGCCACTGTGCACCCGGGGCTCAGTCCCACGGGGAACGGCGGGGAGGCAGCACACAACATGCCCCTCAGAGCGGGTCCCACCCGATCCACCCCTGGGGCTCCAGGTGAAGGGCTGCTCCCAGGCGCCAAACGCTGGGGGCGCAGGCCCTTGCAGGAGGCGCTGGCGGTGCCGGCACCGTGGGCGCGGGTGTGAGGCTGTCCGTGGGAATGTCTACCTCGACTCCTCGGGGTCGGGCTCCTGCCCACCCGAAGTGCGCGCTCCCACGTGGGCCCAGCCCACTCGCCTCCCCATGGATCTCCCAGGACACCGGGGCATGTCATTGCGTCTCCTCTCCCGCCGGGTCGATCCCCGGGACGCCCTAAAGCTGAGCGCCCGCCGTACACGGTGCACCTCTACTGTGGCCCGCCCGCCCGGCCGCCTCCTCCGGGCCCTGCTGTCCCGTCGGGCCCCGCGCCCTCACCCCGTGTCTCTGTGCGCCCAGGGCCTGCGTGCCGCCGACAACGACCCCACAGCGCCCCCCTACGACTCCCTCCTGGTCTTCGACTACGAGGGCAGCGGCTCCACCGCGGGCTCCGTCAGCTCCCTGAACTCGTCCAGCTCCGGGGAGCAAGACTACGGCTACCTGAACGACTGGGGGCCGAGGTTCAAGAAGCTGGCGGACATGTACGGGGGCGGAGACGACGACTAGGGAGCCCACGCCCCGCCCGCAGCGGAGACGTCAGCGGTGGGCGGGCCCGAGGCTGCCGGCCCCGCCCCGGACATTGCGTCAGCGGCGTCAGGAGCCCCGCCCGCCCCACCCGAGCTGTCGAGCATGAACACTTGGCGCCTGCGCGCTGGGCCCCGTGGTAGCGGCCGGAAGGAGAGCGAGAGGCACTGTCTTAACTTGAATTTCTTAGAGCAGAAGCACTGTTTTTAAAACAATGAAAGTGCCTTTTGGTACATGTATCCGATCCCCTCAAACTCAGGAGTGACTCAAACAAGCAGGCAGACCAAGCTCCCGCCACCCCGCGCCCCGGCCCCAGCGGCACCGAACCCTGAGCGGTGCCGCGGCACCCCATCCTTGAGTGCCACCCCGGCCCTGAGCGGGACCCTGCCGTTGAGCATCACCCTGGCCCCGGAGGCACCGCAGCCCAGGTCAGAAAGGGAGGAATGAGAGAATGCTGGTTGGGGTTGGGGTTGGGTGCGTTTGGTTTGGGTCTTGGTCTTAGAGAGGGAAAGCTGGGTAACTGGCTTAGCGAGATTTGCCGAGAACAGTTAGTTTGGGTTCCCCCATCAGACGGTCCTCTGCTCCTCGCCTTCCCCCCATCCAGCCCTCTCCTGGGGCCCCTCGGGGATCCAAGGGCAGCCGGGCTCAGCTTTGGGTTCCGGCAGCGGAGAGCTGGCCAGGGCCAGCCAGGCCACAGGGACCAAAGGGGCCGGCGTGGTGGGTGTGGCTGCCCGACTCTGGGCGCTCAGATACGAGGCAGAAGAGGAGCTCCCCCATCCCCAGGGTCCCCCCAGCCAACCTAAGGCCTTCAGGGCTGACTCACCCCCAATACCACCCAGACCCCTCAGCCTCCTGGCCCAGCGCAGCATGGTGGCCCCGGCATCCCAGCCCACCCGGCCAGCGTCCTGCCAACCTTGGTGGCCCTCAGGCTGGGCTCCCGCAGGCCGCCATCGGGCCTTGCACACCTACAGACACCTCTGTCCCTCACGGGCAGGCGGTGTCCTGGGCGAGCAAAGCCTCCTCCAACACGGGGACCCTGGCCGCTAGGACCCAAGCCTGCTGGTGTATGTGAATGCCTGATGGTGGAGGCCTAGTCAGCATTTACACCACCCACCCACGGGGTGTCTGGAACCCCACGTCTCCTGTGCTAAGGCTGCGAGCCTGTACGGTGGCAGGCTGCCCGACATCTGATGGCTGTGCACTGTCACCCCGTAACGTCACTGCTCCCTGGATGGGTGGGTTCCACGGGACAGCAGGAGACTCTGAGAGGACCCTTGGGAGGCCCCATGGCTGCATCTGTCACCGAATGACCCTTCCTTGTCTCTGGGACAGTGTCTCCGGGATCGATGGACGGGAGGGCACTAGAACCAGGGGCCGGTCCCCAGCGTGGGGACCGTCCTGCTGTAGCTGCATTCAGCTTGCCCAGGCCAGTACAGCAGGGGCTCCAGGAAGGGTGACGAGGCCAGTGGCCCGGGCAGGAGCTGACACGAGAGAGTCCTGGCCACCCCTGCTCCTCAGTGTCAGGGGGATCCCCTCCACAGGTCGAGGCGGCGGTCAGGGTGCCAGCTCTCCCCTTCTCCAGCAGCCTGGGCTCTGCGGCTCCCTTGGCCTTGGGCTGCCCCTTTGCTGTCCCCATCCCCTTGCCCAACAGCCTTGGCTCGGAAACGCCCAGGGTTCTTCAAACCGAACATGTCACCCTCTGCATGCTGTCCCGAGCTAAGCTGGCATCACGCGTGTCAGGACCTGACCACACAGTGCAGAGATGGACAAAGGACGGGGTGACCAGCATCAGGAACTGGGCCTCGGGGCCTCCTCGCCCCGTGTTGCCCATGATGCAGCCAGCCGCTCCCTGGGAGGCGGAGGGGAGGGGCACGTAGGCCGGTCTCAGCCATGCTATGCAAACTGCTCCGGGTCCAGTGACTGGAGGGGGATTTGAGGGGGCCACTTGGCAGCTCTGTGGCCGTAGGGGAGGGCGGGGGGAGGGGGATCTGAGGGGCCACTTGGCAGCTCTGTGGCCATAGGGGAGGGCTGGAGGGCGGGAGCAGGAATGCTCTGGTTGGTGGTTTTTGAGAAGTCATCCTTCACTGGGCTTTTGAACTTGAGAACTGAGTGACTGTGACCCAGGGCCAGACACATGAAGACTCTTCCCTGGAACCCAGACCCTTGGGCCCCCAGGGGCCTCCTGGGGCAGACGTGCCTGGCCCACTCAGGACCCGGCCTCACACGCCAGCCCCCCAACCCTCGGGGGGCCAGGAGCCCCAGCTGCCCTTACCACCACCCCACAGTGTGATAGGGCTCACGTTTCCCTCTGCACCCCGCCACTGTCGCGCTTGGGGCCCCGGACCATTTTGCCAGGGATCCCACTGGCTGAAGCTGGGGCAGCAGCTGTAGGAACGCCAAGGGGCCTTCTTGTCCATCCCTGCCTTCCAGCACACTGGCTGACACCCCCTCACCCAGGCCAGCACCCCTGTCCCAGGCCATCTCTGGGCTCATTTGAGGCCAACAACTTAGCTTAGCCAACCATTCAATTAGTGTCAACCGTCTCTCTCCTGTAGCCTGTAGCCTGTAGACTCGAACCTGTGACCAGTGCCCGCCTGGAGGAGGCGCAGCCGCCTGGCAGCCCCTCCGCGAAGTCACCTTCCTTTGGGGTTTGCATTCTGGGACCCGACGGGAGACGCCCGCGCTGTGGGGCAGCGTGTTCCCTCCCTCGCGTCCTTTAGCACAACGTGCTGGGCCTCCCGCCACCACAGCAGCAGGGCAGGCCCGAGGGGCAGGCGCGCGGAGGCGCCTGTGGCCCCAGTGCGCGCACCGGCCTGGCACACGCAGTCCCTCCAAGGGCACCCTGCTTCCCGGAGGCAAAAAGCCGGGGCGGGTCTGGGTTTCTGGCAGAATTCAGAGGCGTCACCGCGGACACGCGCCGCGCGAAGACTGGTGCGCACGGCCGGGCTGCGCGGGACGCCGGCGGCCGCCTCTGCCCCCGTCGCGCGCTCCGCTCCCCCTTCCTCTCCCTGCTCCCCCTTCCTCTCCCTGCTCATTCCGGCTTTCTGTTTGCATGTTTCTTTTTGAAAACGGACAGAATGTGTAGCAGCCCGCATGACCGTGGTTGTTTCGGGGAAAGATACCGGAGTGTGATGCGTCCACGCAGCAACTGTGCGCGCGGCTTGCGCGGATGGACAGAGTTCTGACTTTTGTAATCGTCAACAGCACAACTATTTTGTATTGTCGTTTGTATCATTTTGTACCAAAAAAAAACAAAGGAAAAAAAAAAGGGAAGAGTCGATGTTTTCAGTGTGTTTCTAGTGCCACGTGGCCTTGGTTCCGAACTGAGGAGTGGCTTCGCGGGTCGTCGTGTGCCGGGCGGGCCGGGGCGCTGGCGCAGTGCTCCAAGGGAAAAATAAAGTCCCCTTTTAAATAGCCGGCCTCCGCCTGCCTGGTTTTTCTCCCTGAGTTCAAGAAGCGGGTGGCGTGCAGTCGGCTGGTGGGTGGGCACAGGGGGCTGGTGGTGGCCATACTGGCCTGGGAATGGCCCCCGCCAGCAAGGAGCCCAGAGCCATGCTGCTGAAGGAGTGTTGGGCAGGGCTTCGCCAGAGCTCAGTCAGGCTCCCAGAGTCAGGTCTCCGGGGAGAGCAACAAGTTTCAGGGCCTGCCCAGCCAGTAGCCATCCCTCTGGGCAGAAATGTACCTGAACGTGGTCTCCATGAGACATTTCAGACGTTGGAGAGAGCTGAGCCCAGCTCAAGCCTTCACTCCCCTTAACCATGCCACAGATTTTGGGTGCCACCTGCCTGGCTCCTGAGGGGGGGCCCTTAAGAAACACAGGGGAGGTGTGGGGTCCTGTGGGAACCCCGGCAATGACCCTCTGCACTATGGGGTAGAAACAACCCGGGTCTCCTGCATGGTTTCCTTGGCTCCAAACAGGTTCCGAGCCCAACACTGGTCCAGCATCCTCAGCCCGCCCTGCAGAGGACCATCTGGCTGCAGCCTGTGATCAGGGCTCCAGCCTTGCAGGGCTCCGGAGAGGCCAGCGGCACTGGCCGTGCCTCTCGGGCTTTGCGCGGTGCGCCATGCTGGCTGTAGGGAACATCAGAGCCCCTCAGGACTAGGCTCAGCCACACCACCAAGCCCAGCACACCCTGGGAACCCGGGGACCTGCTTGGCTGTGCAGGCAGGGTCGGCAAGGGAGGGGGCCCCCCTTCTAATGCAGTGCCCACTCCGTCCTGGCATATGGCAGAAGACACAGCCTGCGAGCACACGCATGCACACCCATGTACACAGCACACATGCATGCACACACATGCTCTCACACAACCACGTGCATCCACACGCTGCCACGGTGACTTCCCTATAACCCCAGGGGACCCCCAGTGCCAACAACAGCCTGAACAGTGTCATCACCCATGTGACCTGGCCCAGCGTCCTCAGGACCCTCGGCTTCCCCCAGCCGTCAGAGCACGTGGGGAGGGGGCTCGGGGAGGGGTGTCCAGGCCCCACCTGCCTCAGCGCCCCCAGCCCAGCACCCTGCGTCCTCACAGCTGCAGGATGCCCGAGGAGCAGGGAGCGTTAGGCAGCCTCTCCCAGGAGGGCAGGCAGACAAACAGCACCACCGGCAAGCCCAGCTGGGCCTCCAGTCAGTCACGGAGGGGCCGTGATAGTTACCCCACTTCACAGGAGAGGAAACACGCCCAGGAGTTAGGATTTAAATTCAGGCCTGGGGGTGGGTAGGGAGAGGGGCATGGAAAGGGGCGGGGAGCTATGACCTGAGGTGGGTGAAGTCTCCCAGCACCACAGGCACCATACACCCCTCGCAGGTGGAAAGCAGCCTCCTAGCTCTGCAATCCGGGCTTTGAGTCCTGTAGTGAACCCTCCCAGCCCCTGCCCAGGCCCAGTGAAGCCAGGCGGGTGAGCAGTCCCCAGTGGCCAACGGCAGCAGGTCTCAGAAACCTGGTGGACAGGCACCCTGGTGTGGGGCAGCTGACCTGTCT